GTCAACATTAATATTTACAAATGCCATGAAAATTGTACAACAACGTTAAAAAATTAAATTTGTATCAAGTTTGTATATTTTATTATTATATGATTTCTGAAATTTTATTTAAGTGAAAACTAAAAGAATCCTAAGTGCTCATTTAAAAAAGTGCCCATCATGTAATTATTAATCTTTTATTGAAGTACTTCAAATATTCATTAGAGAAGTTTTTGATAAACAAAAATTTCATTGTGTATACTAGGTATCTATATTATATAATGTACTATATAATACTAATTATTCTAAAATAAATTTAATTACAGTAACTACCTTGATTCTCTGATCCTAAGAAGCATGTAATTACATACAAAAAAATACTTAAATAAACTAAAATACAAAATGAATTTAATATGCTAGATTATTATAAATAAAAAAATACCTCATTAAGAATGATATGAATGATGAACATTTTACCCTCAAAATTAATTTTTTGAACTTGTGACCAGCTGAAATGATTCATTTTCTTGCTGCCTTGGAATGTAAGGATGCCAGTATGATTAATTCCTAAATAAAGTTGATTACCTCTTTGATCCTATATTATAAACAGAAATGTGATAAATTTTTCTGTGTACCTTCATTAATATGCCATTATATTATATAGTATTTTTTACCTTAACAGCATGAGGATCAACTCCATATGTGTCCAGCACACACGCTTTTTTCAAAAAAATTGTTTCCATTTCAGCAGCACTTTTGCCTTTCAATTCATTTTTATGAATATCCATCATTTTTTCCTCTAATTGTAATGTTTGTTTCAATAGTATCTTTAATTCACTTACATAATTATCAATATGTTCTTCTGGATTGAAATCTCCAAGTTCAGCTATTAACAAATATTAAATAATTGTGATTGTAAAATAATTAGATAGATTATTATTTATTACCCTGCAGTATATAGGCTCCGAGTAGAGCAGCTTCAGATGTGTTACAGTAAAGGCGACCGTGTAATAAATCCCTTTTTAACTGAAGATAGATTTGATAGCGAGTAATATCTTCTTTTAACCGAAATGGATTTGGCGGATAAAATTTAACACGAAAGCTAAATAATATATTGTCAGCTTCCATATCTAAGATAGAGATATTCTTTTAACAAATTATATTTAATGATAATAATGTTAAACAACAAACCTCGAATTTGTTTAAAAATCGATTTAGATGGTTCTAACCAATGCTGTAAAAATACAAAATAAAWTAAATTAAAGTAATGTTMTATAAATAATTTGTAAATTATACGATAGGTACCACTTAATGAAATCATTAAATAAATCCTGGAATCATAATATTATTGAACTATCATGAAAAAATTAAGTGATACCTAAAACGACTGTAGTTGTCAAAAAAATTAAGTACCCTTTGACGTTTGCTATCAACATATCTTAGACCAAAATAATCCTTTTCAATTAAATCCAATTGTTCACAAATTCGATTTATCAAGCTACTTCCCTTTTCATTTATCTAAAAAATAAAAAATAATATACATTATTATCATTAATTGAATTATAATATATACCTACAAGGAAATATAAAACATAAATTAATAAACAAATGTATCTAACACTGTATGTATGGTATATAAACATATAATCAGAAAATATAAATTCAGAATAAAGCTTAAGTTTAATAATAATAAATCATTGCATTTTATTAATTAATACTTAGTACCAGCAAGACATAAGTTAATGGACTAGGTTCAAATATGAGGTATCATGGTAGGCAATTATATCTTTTAGTATGAAGTAGAAGTAAGTATTTAAAATGAGATACACTTACATTTGTAACATTTTTTTAAGGTACACACTACTACTTATAAAAAAATTATTAATCTAGATTTAAATAAAACTATTTTAACATATCGTTTTTTTCTAATACTATMATTTGGTATAACTTTAACATAACATAGATAGATGTCAATGTCTCAATAATTTTTTCTTTTAGGAAATTGCAACAAAATATAGAAAATTTAAAAAAGTAGTTATTGTAATGAACTAGTAACCTAGTTCATAAGTACCTAATTGCTATTCATAACTTTAYAAACGAGCAGCGGATATAAAGTGATGCCTGATTTTACTCAAATCATTGATAAAAAGTAGAAAAATGTAGAACAAAATTTTAATCTGATATTTCAGTTGACAGTATCCAATGTTTTTTTTTCTGATTATGACTGAGGAACCTATTCAATAAGCATTGTTTTGTTGTATACATTTTTCTATTATATGGTTTTAAGATTATTTTTAATTACTTTTAAATTTTATAAATCTTATAAATTTAATTTAAAAATAATAAATACATTTTGATAATACTCATTTCAAGGATCAATATAGAGAATAATCATAACTGCAATTTTCTTCTTATATTTTATTGTTAAATATTGGTATGGTTGTAAAGAAAAATATACTGATTAAATGTATACCACATATTCTAAGCGTAATTTGATAAAAATGTAAAATCTCATTTAAATATATTAACTCATGTTACTATTATTATTGCTTATCTATGATTTAASAAATATGTAATACAATATATGTAACTTTAATGATTAAATAGATACTTAATAAAAACTTTGTAACTAGGTGCATATAATTTAAAAGGTACACTTATATAAATCCATTCATTATCTTCTTGTAAACAAAATTTGTTTAATTATATTTAATATAATTGAAGTGTTGAAACATACTTTGATAAATAGAACTATCCTAATTGTGTATTAATGTATCATTAAACATACGAGTAGGTATATTAGTACAGAATAAATTATAATTTTTTAAGATAATATAAATTAAAAAAACTTTAATGGTCATTATAGATTATTAAATATTTATAAATACAAATAGTATACATGTAGGTAACTACCTAAACATGATAATTAAATATCTATATACATTCATCAAAGTGAAATAATATTTATTAATCTACCTATTTAATAATTATGATAAAAAGTAACAATTATATGAATAACTGTATGTAATTTTCAATTCTGATTACAAATATACCTACAACTGATGGTAATTTTTATAGCATTATGAATTATTGATTAATCACTTTACCAACACAAAAGTTGGAAATCAAAGAACTAATTCAGAAGAGTAATAAACTTTGTTCCTGGTTCATTAAAATACATAATGCCATTTCAACATATGATGATCAATAGGTAGGAACCTAATTTACTATTAATATTCTCATTCATAACACATTATATACACATATCCATTGAAAGTATTAAATAAAAAGTTGTAAAATGAGAATATATAAATACAGAGATAATATTTAATCAATATAATATACATGTTTCAAGAGTCTAGTTTAAACTAAATAACTAATAAGTAATAATAATTTTTATTAATTATTATTTTCAATAAATATCCTAAAATTATACCTGAAATTCACTCTCCAGCAACTGATTGTCATCCAACAGACGGATGGTACACTTGATTGGCGTATTTGCGGAATTTTTGCTTCCAAACTTCATCATGTTATATTTTAGAGAACAGCACGGCCGTCAAAAGCAATCCCACGCAGCTGAATCAGTCAAAACGTCGCAAGTCCTGTGCGGGAATAGAGTAAAAGAAATCTGAATTAACCGGTCGAGAGCAAATAGTGAGCAAAATATGCTGAGTTGCAGAAAGCAAATTAATACAATCGTGGCGGCAGAAGATATAGTAGGCAATACAGTCGTTGGCGGTCAGTCAGGCGAAAAGACACACAGAACAGGCGTAGGGTACCTTATGTTATAACCGGCGTACTTACGTACTACATACTATCGTTACGTTTCATACATTACACACGATCCTTCAACCACCTACCTATTATGTTATTATCGTGAATAATCGATGATCGCCCTACCCTACTCGGGTTTGGTGCGAGCAGCTCACAAGTCGGGGACGCGTCGTCGTGGAAAACTGACAACTACGGCGAAACAAACGAAAAACAGCACATAATCGTACCTATAATACCGTAAGTTGTGTGGACTATGGGCGATTAACGGCGCACGCGAAAGGTTTCGTCCGTTGGCTGACCGCTTATTTATTGACTATCACCCGGCCCACAGCGGTGGCTAAGAAGGTCGCTGGTGCATGAAGTCCGGGTGGCGGGCAGTGGTGTATACAACAACACTGTTTTAGTGTGTACACAACACTACTACAACACGGGACGACGCAATATCCCATTCGTCGCGCTCAAAGATTACGGCGCGTCCTTATCTCAGCGGCAGTCCTACTCCTCCCGGCTCCCACYAAACGATTAGGTTTGTTTACGCGCTCACGTCTATCAGACATTCAGACATCACTATTCAGTATTCACTAGTCTAGATCTAGATCACTATTCACTACATCAGTGACTGCCGAGTACAACAACTGACGACCGATATGGCAATATTATTATTACCATAACAATAAATAATAATAGTAGTTAAYAATAATTTATTATGGGATCGCGTAATAATTGCGTCAATCATAAAATGAAATATATCCTAATAGACCTGTAATTAACCTTGTTAATAGGTCCATGTGTCGTATAATCAATGGCAGGGAATGCCGAATGCGTCTATTTAGACATTGCCTTTTGTTATAGGTATCATAGAACAATAGTTTTAGAACATTATAATTAAAAATATTATTTGTTATACGGAGTTTATTTTTTATTTTTTTGGCGGTCAGTGGTCAGTCGTCACTGGTGTATGACGTATGGTCGTACGGAGAACGTTTTTGGTGACCACTGAACAGCCTGCCTATTTAATAGACCATTACAATTACAATATAATAAAGTCTCCTAATTCCTAGCTATTTCCACCAATTCTATGGGCCGGACACTCTTTGTGTCCTACGCTTTCGCTAACCACTTTCTCCATGATATAATAATGTAGATCAGCAATCTATTCGGCTGCAAAAGTATTCTATAACGATCGATAAACGTCATTGTATAAAATATAAAATATATGGATAGAAAACTTGCTAGCAAATACGAACCTCAGGCAATAACAGCCCTTTGTAAAGATTTACTCGGGCTCTATTCCCGTCACCAGCAATCGGTTATCGTGGCCGTAGTCAAACGAAGAATAAAATATAATTGGATTATCGTTCTTTGCGGTTTTTTCTTTTTTGTTATTGTGCACGACGCGTGTTCGTCGTAATTACTAAATAGTAGCCCATAGACATCTTACGTTAAAGTAGAAATAAAGTTGTGTCAAGACGTGTTAAAATCAAGTGTCCACTGTCCAATAGTTTAAGTAGTTACTAGTTGATTCTAACTACTAAAGTACAAAGTAATAAGTATAGTTAATACTTAATAGTAAATAGTAAATAATAACTCGGCACTCTTCCTGTCACCCATGAGCCTTGAGCCATGACGGTCTGTAATCGTTTGATTCGTTTGAGCGCGGGATTTTGAGATTAACCAGTGGCTACACTGGTGCATTGACGGGGGGTTGGCAGTAGTGGTGGTGGTGATTCTAGTCTTCATGGTGGTTTTGCTTGGCGGCAGCGGGTACCCCTGATTGATAACACGGACCTCGGCTCCGGCCGCTCCGGGTGGCCTGGATATCACTAATCGCTATCAACGCGTATCATTTGTGTTTTGACCGGCGACGGTGATGGCTGCTACCGCGTCTAGTGTTGTCGTTCTCGACAGAGGRAATAACACAACATGCACCATCAATTTGCACGGTAATGACGATATTGTTTATTTATTATTTATTCGAAAAAATACAATATTGCCTTAATCAATCACCAAAACTTTGTAATTGCACCGGGCGGTATTTGTTATTCGGCTAATCGCGCTGTCTGTCATTGGCCTTGATCATTATTAAATTAATATAATAATACTAAAATGACCCTATTTATACCATATTATACTATTTTTGTTAGTTTCTACTCAATGATTATTTTTTTCATACATATAAAGTCAATCACTTTCGTTCTTGTTATAACAGGTGCCACTGTGGTCTCTTGGAGGGTTAACAATCAGGAACAGTTGTTCGTCAGGTGAGTGTTTTTTTTAAAATTGTTTACGCGATTACCTATTCGTTTTGCACTTATTTTGATATGTCAACGTTTTTGTTATTTGTTAATCAGAAACTTACATTGGAATTTATAATATATATCGWTTAARGGGTTTGTAACTTTTGTTRCATAGTTGCATTGGATTTGATTAAGTTTAATGCGTTATGATATCTAATAATTTAGTAATTTTGGTAAATTGATATTTAATTTGACTAGATGGCATATGATTTCCAATAATTTAACATAATAGGTACTAGGTCTTAGGTATCTTAAGTTATTTACTAATATTATATAAATAATATGTTGGTAATTCTAAGAATATTATAAAAAATTAAATATTTAGGCTATGACATAATATAACTATTTTAAGTATCATTTTTGTTAGTACAATCTTTAAATTTTTTGTATAATTTTTTTTGGAAAAAGCTGATTAAAAAATCATTCAGTTGTATGAATAATTAGAACATAAGGGTACATAACATTATTTAAAGTCGTAAAAATGATTAGCATTTATAATATTTATTTACTAAAACAGTGTTGTATGAACATAACTAGTATATTTTATAAAGTATTACGTGTCTCCTAGTCTTAATTATTTCAAATAATTACGATACGGAACTGTCTAAAATACACAAAATGTTGCCATTTGCAAACACATAAATCTGTAAAATATTTAAAAATAATATTACGTTAATATTACGTAATAATTTATTAATATATCGTATACCACTCTTAGTAGTTTTAATGAATTATCAAATCAAGTATAATATTAATGATTTCAATCTGTGTATTCTCTCTCCCCGTGTTATTGCTAATTAACTACATTTTATTATAGTATGTAATTTGTATGATAAATATTATCTTTATTTTGTTTGAAGTATCAACTAAAATCATAATCTATGCACCAACGTACTATTATGATTTATAATATTATAATTGTAGGTACATTGGGAAAAATAAAATGTTATTTTTTTATTTTAAAATAAATATTTGACGTGATTTACTATTTTTAATATCCCTACCTATTGTACTAAGTAGTTTGTCAATATATTTATTTAAATGTGAAATGAATCTAATTGTTTTTAAATTTTATAAAGAGCAATTAAAATCCAATTCAATATTTATTTTAAACATACACTCTTTTTAATTAACGTCAAAATATTACCCTTTTTCAAAATTAGCTATAAACAAATTCTGATTTCAAGCACTGTGAATGTCGATGACGATAACGCCGATGTATAATAAACTAAGCTTTGATTTATTGGTTTTAAGCGGATTAAAATACACAAAAAATAGTAACGAAATTGGTTTTTAGTTAAATTTACCAGTATATGGAATAACACATTTGAAATAAGTTATTATTTTGACCTCTAAAATATTACCCCTGCATAAAAATGGGAAAGAATTGTTATTGTAAATTCGTGATTACCATCATATTATTTATTTTGAAAAGACCTTTATAACAAACAGAACTGAACAAAATGTTAGATTTTCAAGGTTGAATGATTTTTTTTCACTTAATCTCTTATAAAGTTATAAAACGTGTCAAAAGACCAACAATATGACCGTGAAATTTGTCCATTTTATTCTTTAAATGGTGACATAAAGGTACCTTTTTTTCTTTTACAAATACGGCAATAAAAGTCTTAAACCATTTTTTTTCTGGTAGTATAAATATATCTCGGAGGTACATTATAGTTATTTATTACGCGGTTACCTAAGCATATTATATAGAAACATGTATTTTCTTGTTAAACATTGAAGATTTTAGTGAAACGTGTTATGTATAAGTAATAAATATCAAGAATATTTTCAGCTCAAAATTCTTTRTTAAATCGGATATTATACCTTGTAACATTTAAACTTTAGGTTTCCGTTAAAAATTATATAGTAATCATTTTTGAGTATACGCAAATATTAAATAAAACCATATAAAGACACATTACAAATATTTATTGCTTTTTATTTATCTAGAGTTTTACTTTTGTTATTATTTGCATAACCTAGTATTAAAATTAGAAGTAAATATGAATAATATGATAATAACTAATAAGTAAATAATGATTATTAATGACCATTGCTATCGAAATATAATCTTTGATAATATTGTAAWATGCATAGAGATTTAACCAAAAATATTTTGGGTAAATTATGAAATAATTAATAAATTAATATGTAATGTTAATCTAATACAATTGTTGACATATATTTTTATGTGGCCCAAGTTCTGAAAAACTTAAGTATTTTGTAAACAATATTTTCCATATGGATTATTTAGATAATATTTCAAAAAGTCCATACAAGGAGTAAAAAATAGGTATCYTTTGTATGTTTTTCTGAAAATTTTATTTTAATTTTTTCAAAACAATCAATTTTTTTTAAAAGACAATATTAAACACAAAATTTTAAATAGAGACCCTTAATTTAAATTTTAAACACACAGTATAATTTAATTCATCGTAAAAATAAATACTTATAATATAGCACTGTGTGTGCTGAAACATTTAATAACTATAATAAATAAATAAACATTTAAAACAATAATATACAAGAGAAAAAAATATTTTTTCTACAGGTTAAAATTTCAGAAGCTTGTATATTGTGTTGCCTTCCTTACTTAATTAAACTAACAACAACTACCTATATGATTATGCTAACTTCATAGACGATTATAAATAAATAAATAAATATATTGAACCAACCATTTTATTTATTTATATAAATTATAATCTCCAAATTTTAATATTTTATCGTTTAAATGTATAGTAAAGTTACGTACGGTACTTGTTCTTGTAAGTTTATGTGCTGCATAAATTATCCCAAATTTTTCTTTTACTTTAAATATTAGTATCGGATTTATTCATAGTTAAATATTTTATTTATGTTGTATAATGTAATTTTTATAAAACAAATTATTAATACTTTATCTAAAGGTTAGAAATTTGTAAAAAATACTAAAAAGTTTTTTAAGACAATTCAAAGCAAAATTTGCGCAGCTGGCTGAAAAGGGTTTCGTTGTTATTTTTTCACCCCTCTGAGGGTGTGGCAGTCTGGTAATGACTGATGAAGCATTTATCCCGCTTAAGGACCCTCTCTCGCTCTGTCCAAGTCATTGTCGTCCAACATCTTTTGACTGATAGCCTTGGCCTGGATCAACCCTTGAACCTCGTTAATCAGATTATAACT